TCTCTCTCTCTCTCTCTCTCTCTTCCCCACCCACCAAACCTGCCAAATCTATTGCAAGAAAGGTAACCAAGTAAATAATTAGTGATACCAGAATTACTTCCCTTCCCACAGGAATCCAGTTTGCCTGCACCAGAAATCACCGAATGAAAGCAACTGCTTTCCATCAAAAGTTCCCTTTCTAAGAGTCAAGAGTATCTTCGCTTAATCCTTGCCCCGGCGTGTGTCTGCTAAATCCTTGCCTATCCACTGTAGTAATTCAGTTCTCTGTCGAAAAAAAAATTCAGAAAAGACGTTTTTTAAAGGATAAAGTCAATTGGTATCCTTGATCGTCCGATGAAGTTATCATGTGCGCTTGTTCATTCCAGTCAGAGTAGCGCTATAAAAATAATATGTTTAAAGAATGTGCATAAGCAGATTGCACAGAAACATCCAGGTTTCCTTTTTGATCATTGTCTTGAACTTAATATTTTTCTCGTATTATGTCTCCAATAATTAATATTATGGTTATAATTAGATCTATTTATTTCAAAGCAATAATTTGTCAGTCAGTCAGACAATCGATTTATTTCAATAAGAAACAAAAAGCCCAGCTTGTCTCACCAGGAACTGCGTCTACATCTCCGCGTCTCCATCCACGTCTCCATCCGCGTCTCCATCCACGTCTACATCCACATCACCGTCCAGGTCCGAGGGTACGTCTGTAGACGCCTCGTCTTCCTCAACCGTCTCCTCAGCTTCCGGTATATCTACCAGTCTTTGCAGTCGCCAGCCTGCATTGGTGTCGTCCCCTTCTCTCTTTTCTGGATGGAAAAAAAAGAAAACTGTCCAGGTTCCAGGTTACACCAAAAAAAAAAAAAAAAGAATTAATTTACTGTAGCATGATTTTGTATAATATAGGATATAATAGATTATTCCTCTTCATATACGCAATGTGCAACTCTATGCCTGTCTGAGTGATGTTTAATTAAGGAACCATTTCTAAAGAAAATTCTTTAACATTTTAATTTTTACAATAACCATCTCTGTGACATTTATGAACCGCTCCGCACTTTTATGGGTGACTCCAACTTTTATAATGTAAATGTGTTGTTTCATCTAGCTGATTGTATTTTTAAAGCATCGAACCACAATTACCATATTGATGTGCTTTTCTGTTGCTTGGTAGAACAATAAATACTTTCTATAATCTCTACAAAGGGGGTGAAGGGGGTGAGATGTGTGTGTGTTGG